ACGGACCGATACCAATGAGACAACTATTAACCATTTTCTCAAAACCATTATAATTTCAGTTTAACAATTTTCATCAAAAATTCTTTTCTCGAGCTAGGGACCTCGGAATTCGATTTCGGCCATACGCCTAAGTCCCATATTTTACTACAGACCCTCCAGAATCTTCAAAACACAGGTCCGGGTCCGTTTACTCAAAATATTGACCGAAGTCAACTAAAATCAACTTTTAAAGGCAAAACCTATTATTTTCTCAAATTTCCACGTAACGGCTTTCCGGAAACGTGCCCGAAATGTGCACGCAAATTGAGTAGAAATCAAGTGAGGTTTCGAAGGCCTCGGAACATCGAATTGGGTTCTAAAACACAAGACGACCTTTCGGGTCATCACAAGGCACTTCCTGCAAAATTTCCACCAAAGGAAAATTCACACGCACTTGGCTCAAAATATCTAAGAATTTCTTGTACATAGCATCATCATTTTGATTTTGCAGTCTTTGTGGAAACGGAGGTGGTGGCCTTGTTACAATTTCTGGCTTTTCTTTCTTATTCTCTTCAACGGGCTTAGGAACTAATTTACCTTCAGGTCTAGCTGTATACTTCTTTTTCTCTGGAACTTTTTCTAATTCTCTTCCATTTCTCAAGGTAACCGCATTGACTTGAGCCTTAGGATTAGGTTCAGTATCACTCGGGAGAGCTCCAGCACGTCTAGTATTCTGACTGTTAGCCATTTGCCCAAACTGCCTCTCTAGATTTCTGAATTCTGTGCACAACTATTGATTGTCTATCAAGAGCTTTTTCATCATGTCAGTCAAAGTCTCTTCTGCTTGTTGTGGGGGTTGAGCTGGATGATTGTAATTCGCTTGAGGCCTTATATTCTACTTTCCACCCCAAGAGAAGTTAGGATGATTCCTCCAATTCGGATTGTATGTGTTACCATATTGAGCATGTTGATTCATCGGCCCTCTAGCTTGTTGCCCCACGTAGTAGATGGATTCAGGATTTATGAGACATATGTCACTTGTGTGACCTTCACCACATAACTCGCAGCAAGTAGACATCTGTTGCACATGTTGCATCTGTTGTGCGTGGTGCATTGTCATTTTATTCATCTGATTCGCTAATCTCGCTATATCTGCCCTCATTGCTGAGAAATCATCAAGCTTGATCACACCTGCTGCCTTTTGTTTAAGTGCTCTTCGTGGTTCCCCATCTCCTTGCCAGTTATTATCATTAGCAGTGAAATTGTTTAGCAGGATCCGGATCTCACTATACGGTCTTGCCATGCAACTACCCCCACATGCTAAGTCGAGATTCATCTTTGATGCCTCGTCCAACCCATCAACGAAAGTGTGACCTAACACCTCATCAGTTTGACAATGGTGTGGACAGTCTCTGAGTAACTTCTTGTATCTTTCCCAAGCTTGTCGAAGGGTCTTACCATCTCGTTGTTGAAATCCAAGAATCTGGCTCCTCAGACTTGGTCTTCTTTGTGGGAAAAAACTTGATTAAGAATTTCCTTGCTAGATCATCCCAATTGTGGATTGAGTTCACGGGCTCCTTTTGTAACCATTCCTTAGCTTCCCCCATCAGTGAAAGGGAAACAGTGTCAGCCTGACATAGTCCTTGGAAAGGTTCGGATAATTGTAAGTGTCTGTAATTTCCAGGAAGTTCTGAATGTGCCTCTGTGGGTCTTCATGAGATAAGCCAACATATTACCCTGTGGACTGAATCAGTTGTACCATGTACTGTTTGAGTTCAAAGTGACTCGTGTATCAGGCTTCACAATCGCCTGAGCCATAAGAGTTAGATTGGGCCTTGCAGCTTCTATCACCGGACGCTCTTCATTACCTGCCATCTCTATTGGCTGTGGTTGAACTACGATGTCCAACTCTCTTTCAATTCTTGTTCTAGCTTCAACTTCCCTCCTCACTCTACGAAGTGTTCGTTCAATTTCAGGATCAAGAGGAAGGAGATTGTTTGCACTTCTACTCCTCCGCATTCACGAGAAGAGCCTGCGTTATCACAAATAAAGCAAACTAAAAATTAAAACTTGAACAAATAACGAATAACAACTTAACTCAACTAAACAATCAATAACTAAGTCCCCGGCAACGGCGCCAAAAACTTGTTGGGACCAAACACACACGCAAGTATACGTGGTTGTCAAGTAATAAAGTTACTCGAAAGTCCGATGTCGAACCCACGGAGACTTAGATTGATCGTTAACTAAGTAAACTAAAATCAATTAATTGTCCAAGATATTTAAGAGTGATGTTTTTCTATTAATCTACTATTGCGAAAATTAAACAAATAACAACTAAATAATCAAGAATGCAATTTTGTATGACGAGATTTTACTTCAGAGGAGATGGAAATTCCAGGGTTGTGGTTGGTTTATCAATCCTATTAAGTTCAATAATCACACTCGTTAATCCAGATTATCTGTGGTTGCTAATTAACTGGATCTTTTATATGAATAGCATGTTCCCACAATACTACTCGCCTGCCCATAATATATCAACCCTATATTCCTATGGTATTGCGTCTATCATGAACGAATATAATACGGTATTTAATTAAGCAAGGCTGTTAGGTATATTCCTATCCTAACCGCGAAATCTTTCCCCGAGCCACGGGTTCAGAAACAAGCTCTCTCTAATTCTACTCTAATCTAAACACGACTTTCCCAAGCATAGCATAGATAGTAAATAGAACTCAACTGTTGGCCAGACAATTAAGCAATTATGCACAGAATTAGAGAAACAACCACAAGATGATAATCCGAATTAACGAAGATGTAATTAATAAATGTTAATAATCATGTCAACCACAACCCTAGAACGTAGAGTGATTAGTCACTCATGTTCATAATAATAATTTTTCAAGTATTTTGTATAAATAAATTACAAGAAAAAGAAAAAGGGATGAAGAACTCTATGATTTTCTCCTCCGAAAGTTATCCACGAGATGTCCTTGCCTTCGGTCGCCAAAACTCCTTCCAAAGTGGCGTTTTTAGGTCTATTTATATGTGTATGAAAAGACTTAAACGTGTATGTCAAGTCCCAGTCAAACCAAGAGACGAAATAAAGCTTCAAAACTCGGAATGAACCTGGCCCCAGGCCTGGCATCGCCAGGCTAACTCCTGGTTCTGCTTGGCCTTTGCCTTGCAGCGCCAGCCTAACGCCAGTTTCAGCCTGGCCTTTGCCTGGCCTCGCCAGGTTAACGCCTGCTTTAGGCTGGCCTTTGCCTGGCCTCACCAGGTTTCTCTTTTTCACTGTTCTCGAGCACACTTTCAACGTTTAAGTATCCCTTTTGTTCTACTTTCATCTCCAATTCACATACACATAAAATAGACTACATTACGCGCAAATAAAGTGTAATTTATCATTAATGCATGTAAAATGCAAGAAAAATAATGTACGAAACAATGAAATTATAGCCCCACATCAGAGGTCGAAAATTTTAAATAATTAAATTATTGTTTCTTAAAATCTCCGACTGCAGTAGTCTGAAACCTGAATAGTTTGATGGGTTAATTATTTGCTTATTTTTGAATAGTGTGATCCGAAACATAATTATTTTTAAATTATTGCAAGCTCTTTGGGATTAGAGATTTTATTGTTGAGTCAAAGGACAGAACAAAAAATGGCTTCGTCAGTGGGGATCAGAATGGTGGCCGGCGGCAAAGGACTGTGGAAAAAATAACGGCTTTTCATATGAAAGAACATACTTTTCTTTCTCATTTGTCTTCAGATTTTTGACTTTTGTGGAAAAAAGGGAAGAGTCGACCACATTATGGTCTTATTTGAGTTTTATAAATAAAATAAAAATAAAAAATGGAGTCGAGTTGGATGAATGAGTTCAGAAATGAAAGAAAAAATCTTGTACTTTCTTACATCTCATATGTGCATTAGGTTCAAAAACATTTTAAAAGTTTATTTCTTTTGTATATCAGTTATCTTGACCTCTCATAACAGTAATATTGCTACGCAGTCTCGCATTCTATTGGTAGTAGATTTTTATGACTAACCGTTGCTTTCTTTCATTGTTGATCCCTTGCTATCTTGTTGTTTTTATTCTGCTTTTATATGACTTTTTGGTGATGTCCCTTCTTATCTATATTTTCATTGATGTGGTGCTTATGCTTTCCTGAGCCGAGGGTCTATTGGAAACAACTTCTCTATTCTCACAAAGTAAGGGTAAGATCTGCAGTGTGTGATAATACTAGGTATGTTGTTGTTGTTATCTTAGCCTCATTTCTAAAAAATAAATGGTATGGTTATTCAATGCAAGTCCAATTATCACTCGAACTTAATCTTAGCGTGAGAAATTCTTGATTATCAAACTAAAAGTTAAATAATTGTAAGAAAAATAATTTCATCCGTAAGTGAGAGGTCATTTTCCTCCTTTTAAAAGAAATATTTTTCAATACATGGTAAAAAAATTCTACTAAAAAATAATTTTCTCATGAAAAAATATTATACTAAAAAGTAAAGAAAAATAGAAATGGAACTTCAATGAAGTTTCGCATCCCCTCCTTTATTGCAATATGATTGTGGGGAAAATAGAAAGAGATTAAAGGTGTGTTCGATATTAAGGAAAATATTTTCTAATTTATACACGTTTGATTGGCTTAAATATTTTGGAAAACATTTTTCTCATGAACTCATTTTCCTCCAATTGGAGCAAAATGATTTCCCTATCAAGAGAAGGGAAAATACTTTCCAACTCTTTTTCAATTTTCCCCGCCCTATTCCCCCATCCCTACCAACCCACATCCCTACCCCCACCCACCCCTTACCCCACCACCCCCGTCCACCCCCAACCCCTCACCACCAACCCTTAATAGAAATATTATTAAAAATACTTTTGTCGCGATCCGGAATTCCCACCTTCGCGACCGTGATGGCGCCTAACATTTCACTTGTTAGGCAAGCCAACATTAGATATTATTAAGCCAAATTCTTAAACCTTTCAGTGACTAACAATTAAGCCATAACAAGTTAAAAGAGTGGGGAAATTCATAAGAACCTTAATATGTTTACACAACTACCCAGAATCTGGAGTCACAACCCACGAACGTCTAAGATTTAACTACAAGTAATTTGTTAAAAGGAATATACAACTGTTTTCGATACAAATGAAACAATACAGAGAGAATATATAGAAGGGGACGCCAGGGCCTGCGGACGCCAATAGGACTACCTTGGGTCTCCGATCAGATGAGGCCAGCAGCTATACTTAGGATCAGTCCGAACCGGTAATCTGCACAGAAAGTGCAGAGTGCAGTATCAGTACAACCGACCCCATGTACTGATAAGTGTCGAGCCTAACCTCGGCGAAGTAGTGACGAGGCTAAGACAAGACACCCACAAAACCAACCAGTGCAGTATAACAATATATAGACCAATAACAGCAATAAAGGAAGAAAGACAAGTAATATTGGGAGGGGGACATGCTGAGGGGATTACGAGATAAAGAATCAAAACAGTGATAAGAACTTGATCAACCAATATGCCTTAAACAGATAGAAGCAACTAAACATGGTAAAGGAAAATGCACGGCATCATCATTCGTGCTTTTAATCTCATCCTCACCATATGAAACAATAGAAACGGCATGCCATCACCCTTCGTGCATTAACTCTTTCATAACATGGCACGGCATCACCCTTCGTGCATTAACACTCACAATATGGCACGACATCACCCTTCGTGCATTATCACTCACAAAACATGGCACGGCATCACCCTTCGTGCATTAACACTCTCCCTCACCAAAACAAGGAACAATAATAACAGGGAGATAGAAATGAAAATAACAAATCTTACTTCAAAATTTGGTTCCACAATATCAACCTCAACTTTGAGTCAATACTCAATTAATACCAAGGTCCGTAAACAGGATAAGAATGCTCAATATAACAAGTAGCTAGTCTAAATATGGATAACATGATCAACGAAAGCAACACTTACAAGAATAGGACTCACTCGCATGCTATAACTCGACAACAACGCATAGGTACTCGTCACCTCACCTATGCGTTGTACCTAACATTCAAACACGTAGCAAATAGGCAAATAAGACCTAATCCCTCAAGCCAAGGTTAAAAACGACACTTACCTCGCTCCAACGGCCAAACACAAAGCTCAACCACAGCTTTTCCCTTCACACAAGCCTTTGGACCAATAGAATCTAGCAAATTACCAACCAAACAACTCAATTTAAGCCTTAGGAACTACCCACGATAGCAAAGGATTCAATTTAGGCCATTTTTGAAAAAGTCAACACCAGGGCCCGCTTGGTCCAAACCCGGAATTCGGACCAAAACCCGATTACACATTCACCCCCGAGCCCGGATATATAATTGGTTTTGGAATCCGTCCTCAATTTGAGGTCTAAATCCCTAAATATCGAAATCCCTAGTTTCTACCCAAAAATCCCAATTCCACCATGAAAACCTTAGATTTTAAGTAAAATCTTGTAAAATGAAGTAAAAGATTGAAAGAAACTAGTTTAGAATCACTTACCAATGATTTGGAGAAGAAATGGTCTTTGGAAAATCGCCTAGAGGGTTTCTTCTTTTGAAAGTTTTGAAAAATGAGCAAAAATCCCGTCTAAGTTTTACACAGCTGTAGATGTCGCAAATGCGACCAGGGATTCGCAATTGCGAACCCCTCAATTGCGAGAAATCCTTCGCAAATGCGAAGCTTCCCCAGCCTTGTTGTCTTCGCAAAAACGAACAATTGTTCGCAAATGCGGCCTGAGATGATCGCAATTGCGATCCTGAACTTCGCAAATGCGAAGGCCCCCTTCCAGCCCCATTGCTCGCAAATGCGATGCTTCTTCGCAAATGTGATACTTCTTCACAAATGCGATACTTCTTCGCAAATGCGAGCCAAGGCTCGCATTTGCGAGACAGACCTCGCAAATGCGAAGTCTGCAGACCTGAAGCACACCAGCTATGATTTCTAAATTCAATTCACTCTGTAGCCTATCCGAAACTCACCCGAGCCCTCGGGGCTCCAAACCAAACATGCACACAAGTCTTAAAACATCATACGAACTTGCTCGCGCGACCAATTCGCCAAAATAACACCTAGAACTACGAATTCAACACCAAATCAAATGAAATTTTCAAGAAAGCTTTGAAACTTCTAATTTCTCAACCGAACGTCCGAATCACGTCAAACCAATTCCTTTTCTCACCAAATTTCACAAACAAGTCATAAATATTATATTGGACTTGTACCGAGCTCCGAAACCAAAATACGGACCCGATATCAACAAGGCCAAACATCAATCAATTTTAAAACCATTAAATTTCAGACTTGTAATTTTCAACAAAAATTCATAACTCGAACTAGGGACCTCCGAATTCAATTATGGGCATACGCCCAGGTCCCATATTTCAATACGGACCCACCGAGATCGTCAAAATACGGGTCTGGGTCCGTCTACTCAAAATATTGATCGAAGTCAACTAGAATCAACTTTTAAGGCAAAAATTCTTATTTTTATCAACATTCAACATAAAAGCTTTTCGAAAATACGCCCGGACTGCGCACGCAAATCGAGAAAGGATAAAATGAGGTGTTTAAATCCTCGAAACATAGAATTTAGTATTAAATCATAAGATGACCTATCGAGTCATCACAACTTTCTTTTCTTGTGGATACCCTTAGAAAACACAAGAAACCACAACTGAACACATTGAACAAAAAAATTATATAACTATTTGAAAAAATATCGATATCAATTAAAGTAAAAATTATTTAACCAATTACATAATAATACTGTAATATAAAGTACAACATGATTAGTTCAAAAGGAAAGTTACCTTGACTCAGAACTTTGCTCCTTATAATCTTTCATAAGTAGGAGTTGATAAGCCTGTTGAAACTCATTTTGGGTACTTAGAATAAGAATGATCCACATCTCCCGGCAAAGATATAACTTTACCATGTTGGTCTAAATATAACATATGGATCCCTATCTTCTTTACTGTAACGTTGTCCGACCACACTTCTATCATCTCGCCATCAAAAAGTTTATCCAAGTCAGATCTGTAATATACACATGACACTTCTCTGTGTCCATCAGTTATATCAATATCATCAGTTACATCAATATCATCAGTCCACGTCATAATAAAAGTCTCTTTATGAGCAATAATAATCCTGAAGCATGGATTATGCCGGAATACATCGAACAAGTCGGAAACAAACCAGAGAACCATTCCTAAGAAGTTATACTCCTTATTATTATGTGCTGGCACAGTCAAACAAATAGATGAAGCTGTTACTTGATTCCTGCACCATTTTGGAATCTCATTGCATTGGAAATAAATATCCAATCCACACTGCATCGCACAAAGACTCCAAATCATTAATATGATAGGAGAGAGAGGGAGAGTGACTGAGAGAGAGACTAACCATATCTGGATCTTCTTTTCTAGATGCATATAGAGCAGGTGCACTAAAGAAGCCTTCACTGAATGGATTCTGCAGAGAACTACAATTCATCATGATAATTCGCTCTATAGAAGGGAGGTTGTCCAACTCTGTAATCTTGACCAATTTTTGGCAATTCTTAATTTGAAGTATTCTAAGTTTTTCTAAATTGGATACTGACGGGAGTGTTTGAAGATTCTCAGAGTCATTCAAATACAACTCCGCCAATAATAGTAACTTAGAAAAATCAATGGGTAGATAATAGAAATTGTTGCCACTCAAATCTAAATATTCTAAGGAGAATAAGCTCCCAATATCCCTAGGAATATCATCCTCGGACAAATTACAGTATGTAAGGCTCAGAAAGGATACAAAAGTTGACAAGGAATATTGTATCCGATGGACTCCTCTTCCAGAAATACTCCATTTGGCCTCTAACTTTTCACCTTCCACTCTCAAAGTTACAAGATTTCTTAGCATTTCAATAGATCTAGGTAATTGTTTTATACCCGTATAAGATGCATAAAGATATCTTAGACTTTTCATATCTCCAAGGTTGTCTGGCAGTGTTTTTATAGATGAGCAGCCATCAATGTCCAAGTAATCAACGGATATTAGCTGGCATATGCTGCTTGGAAGATCCGTAAGTTTTTCGCAACCAGACATATACAGTTTAATTAGTCTGGACAAATTTCCTATTGATGGATGGATCTCCGTAAGACTTGAGCAACCATAGAGATACAAAGTCTCAAGACCCAGTGAACCATTGAAGTTTGGAGTGCTTCTGAGTTGCTTGCAACGAGAGAGATTCAGCTCCTTCAAACTTCTACAACACTAAAAGTAAACCAAATATAATTTCAATTAACATTTTCTTTCACTCAGTTGCAATAACAGTACACACAAAATTGTAAAATTGAGTAACAAACCTGCAAATTCAATTGAAATTCTTGGATATCACTCTCCCGCATATCTAGAACTACAAGATTCTCAGCTGGAAAATTTGATGGTATATATTTTAAAGGACATTTTTTCCAAGACAGCCATCTGAGATTCTTGGACAACAACCCAAAATCTCCACTAATATGTAACTCATTGATTATAAGCACCCTAAGATTCTTCATTTTCTCAAATGCTTTGGTGCTCAAGTTCACTCCCTTTAATGTCCCTGGATCTACCCTCAGTGCTTCTACATTTTTGGAACCCTGTAGTTCGGTGAAAACATTAGTATCTTAAGACCATCTTAAGTCCCACATATTACGAGGGAATTATTTTTTTATACTAATTGAAGGTCAAACAAAGAGGTTACACGATATGTATCATGAAAAATGAACTTACGCATTAGAGGATGTTTAAAAGGAATGTTAAATTTCTCAGAAAGCTAAGATGAGAGTCATTCAAAAAATAGCTACAATCATTCAATAAATTCACATGCTAATATCAATGGGAAAACATAAATAAAGAGAACAAATTGCATCCTGAATGCCTGATAATAGTATCAATTAAAGATAAAATATATACTATATTATATTTAAAAGAATATTTTGTATATATTGTTCTAGAAATAATAACATAAATGTTCCACATATGTACCTATTAGCGCACATGCCTAATTTCTTCGAGAGCAAGCTTAATTTCCGCAATTATATAAGCATAGAAAGTCAGTAAGAACATAATTAAACAAAAAAATGATGAATTGAGAAAAGAAGAAGAAGATAAATTCAAACATCTCTCAATAACTAATCTTGGAGAGATGGTCTATGCCCACAAGTACGTATGTGTGTATGTCTATTATAAATATATATATATATATATATATATATATATATATATATATAACCAGAGACGAAAGCACAAATGAATTTAATTCTTATGATGACAATTGAAATTATAAGTGGAAAGAGAAAATTATTACTGACTTTATTTCCTTGTAGAACATCACACACTTCTTGAGGGATGAACAATCTACTCCGTTTGCCAGGGTCTGGGGGTGATTCCATCCGAACAATTTCTCTTCCCATATCTCGCACTAGATCATGCATCACCAACAAATGATTCCAAGATCTTCGGAGCAAGTGTTTTTGGACTAAAGTTGCAATTGCACTTCTAGTATGAAAGCCACATGCATTTAATATTTCATTAACTTTATGCTCATCAAACCCATGGAAGATGCATGCAATATCGAGGAAAACAGTCTGTGTTTCATTATCGAGTCCATCAAAGCTTATCTTGAGAATCTTTTGGATATCACTATGAGGAATTGCTCTTAGTTTTTCGACTTCATATCCCCATTCTTCAATAGAACTTCCTTGTAAATGTGACCCCAATGTCACAAGAGCTAATGGCAACCTACCTGAATATTTGATTATGTCGTGTGCCAAATTAACATAATCTTGTGGTGGAAAATGACTGTCAAAAGCATGCCAACAAAAAAGTAACATAGCTTCATTGCCATTTAATAGTTTGGCCTCATATCTCTCTTTTTCTCCAAGCCGACATAGCAATCGCTCGTCTCGGGTGGTAATGATTATTAAACTATCCGAACCAAACCAACTTCTTTCTCTTGTTAAGGCTTCTAACTGTCTTTTATGGTCCACATCATCAAGAACAATTAGAACCTTCTTTGACCCGAGTCTTGCTTTGATTAGATTGATGCCTTGAGCAATACTACCAACTTTGATGTCCTCAGTTTTGAGAATTTGTCGAAGAAGTTTCTCTTGCAGCTTGACAAGACCAAATTCTTCAGCTTCTGATCTAACATCCGAAAGGAAGCAGCTACTATCGAAGAGTCGAAACATTCGATTGTAGATAGCTTTTGCCAGAGTTGTTTTCCCTATGCCACCAACTCCGTGAATACCAATCATGCGAACTTCATCTTCACATTCATTTTGCAATAACAACTCTATATCTTTGACACGATAATCTACACCAACTGGGTGCCAAGCAACATCTAGAGGTGTCTGGTTGACCTCTTGTAGGACTTGTTGTATAATTTTTTCAATAAACTTTGATTCATACCTATAGATTTTTTAACAAAAACAAAAAATTAAAATACTCCAGTAAATAAAATTTTGATATTTGAAACTATTTGATGGTCAAATCAAAATCAATAGCCAAGACATAACACAGTGGGGTGAATCTAAGCAGTAAAATAGATAACTTACTGCTTCATATAGGATATTTTAAAAAATAATTTAAGTTATATATATATTGATAGTATAAAGATCTTTTTCACTATATTTATCAAGTAATTATATAATAAGAGACCTAATTGTATAAATATTTTGATACGGTCGATTTATAGAGCTTAAACTCTTTAAGTCTGTGCCGAAAGCCATGCATAATTACTTGGTTGTGTAATTATTAGGGTAATTATACGATATAATAATTATAATAACCTGCTTGTTTGCCACAACATAATTACCGAGTAATTCTCACTGTTATGTTTGGTTGGACAGGTGTAATTACATAAAGGTAGTAACTTAGCCAGGTACCGATTTTTTTACCAAATTACCCCTAATAATATTTTATTAATGGGTTAAAGTGAGGGCCTTTATTGACTTTTCACCAAAATCTATATCCAAATGCTTCTTCCTCTTTTAACTGCAGCCATTCTCTCATTCAACCTAACACGAAGGCCTTTTCCATTACTGTATTAACCATCTCCTCAAGGAGACTAAATTGCTCTTTCTATTTGGAGTCCTCATTTTTTTTTGTGCAATGTGAATTTTTTAAGAAAAAATGCGTGAATTTTATCCTCCATTAATATTTTTTTGTTTCTTCTCAAATTGCTGGAAAGAGGTTGAAGAGTTGCAGACATCTACAAACAATTGAACAAATAACAAATGAAATTATATAGTTGAATCAAGAAAATGTACCCGTCAGCAACATTTTGCAAATCCCATCCAGATAAATTTGCAGCTTCAGTAAGTGCAGCTCTCCATTTCTCCACCCTTTGAGCTCCAAATGGTCGTTCCTTGTGTTTAGCCAAATATTCACCAAATAACCCAGTTTGCTTTCTCACTTCAGAAGGATCAACATCATAGAAAATAGGCAAAACCATCTGCTTTAGTTTCTCTTTGCATTCAAGAATTTTAACTAGTTCATTTAGACACCAACTAGAGGAAGCATAATTTCTTGAGAAAACAATAATGGAAATTCTTGACTCTTCAATTGCTTTCTCTAATTCTCTTGAAATCACGTCACCCTTTCTCAATTCCTCGTCGTCAATGAAGGTATTAACTCCAACATCAGATAATTTAGAATAAAGATGACCGGTGAATGTTTTTCGGGTGTCTTCACCTCTAAAACTGAGGAATACTTCATAAGATGATTCTCCTCGAACTAATTGAGTATCCATTTGATTTGATGAGAATGAAAGAATTAAGGGATGATTTTTTAGTAAAGGAAAGTAGCTAAGCAGAGCTACATATAATCTTGGGTCAAGTCAACCCTTCTTAGATTTTGTGGTTTCTGGCAGGAAACAAGGGGCCCGTTTGGCAATAATTTCACCTTTTCCAATTGTTCTTTTTACTTTTTTTTTATCATCAAAATTTCAAATTTCGCTTGAAGTCGAATTTCGAAATTTTAAAAAAAAAAATTTAAGAAACTCCAAAAATTATTTTTTCAAAATTTTCACTTCAACACCCTCATACTAGGATATTAAGGAATTCCTACTACAAAATCCCATTAAAACAAGTGAACAAGAAGTTTCTCAAAAGATAGATTTGTGCTTGAAGATCTCAAAGCAGCATAGACTCATAATCAACTTTACAAATGCATTCAAATGAATATCCGCCTAACAAACTTACATATGCGTGTTCTAAAAGGTCTCAATGATTTTCATTAATATTGCAGATTTCTCAGTCTATCTGTACTTAACAATAGCAATCCAACAAGGAGATAGCACAAACATGTGGAGTACTTGTTGTTTTCGCCTATAAGAACAGAATGGACATCTTCACGTATCTTTTTAGAAAAAGAAAGAAGCTAGAGAAATGTGCAGAACCCAGAGATCCGACCAGGATGCAAAGGTGATATTTTTACTCCATTTTCGAGATTCTACTCCTCTGCTTACTATTAAACATGCACACGAAGATAGAGACCAAAGCTTGTATCACACCAATACTTATAGATAAAATGCTAATATACATAATCTCTCCTTACTCTACTGTGTTAAAGCCACCTAATTTATATTTAGTAAACTTAATGATAAAAATAAATATATTTTTTCTTAAAAACCACCACAACACAACTAAACTCAACAAGAATTAAGGCCTTCTTATTAATAGAGATGGGAACACACATTTCCTGAAATTCACCGGGGAAAAAAGTCAATTGTTTGCACCTCTATATCTACTCTTGTAAAAACCTTCAAATTTTCCCATCAATATCAAGTTCACAGGACCTGCAAAAAAATTAGGTGGTCCTTACTTGATTAAGATTTAAGGTTATACAAAAGATGCTAGAAAAAATTTCTGATAAAGGAACTAAAATAAATATTATTGATGGTAATTTTTTGGTGGTGAAGGTGCTGGAGGACTATCTAGTTGTAACGACCCGGCCGGTTGTTTTAAGAATTTACGCTCCGATCCCCTATTAACTGATTTTCCGGTGTTTGTTTCTGCTATTGTGAGTTGCCGGGAGGAATTATTTGGAGTTTCGGAGAGTTTTGGAACACTTAGTCCCTAAATGAGAGCTTAAGTTTTGGAAATTTGACCGTAGTCAGAAAAGTATGAAGACAGCCTCGGAATGGAATTCCGATAGTTCCGTTAGCTCCATTGGGTGATTTCGGGCTTAGGAGCGTGTTCGGATTGTGTTTTGAAGGTCCGTAGCTAATTTAGGCTTGAAATGCCGGAAGTTGAATTTTTGAAGTTTCCGGTTCGATAGTGAGATTTTGATCCGAGGGTCGGAATGGAATTCCGTAAGTTGGAATAGCTCCGTAGTGTTGAATGTGACGTGTGTACAAAATTTCAGGTCATTCGGATGAGGTTTGGTAGAGTTTTTGATCGAAAGCGTATTTTGAGAGTTTTTGAAGTTCTTAGGCTTGAATCCGATGCTAATTGGTTGATCCGATGTTGTTTTAGGTGTTTGGAATATTTGTATAAGTTTGGATGGTGGTATATGACTTGTTTGTGCTTTTGGTGGAGGTCTCGGGGGCCTCGGGATGATTTCGGATGGTTAACGGGAAGTTGGAAACTTGGAGTTTGCCGCTGAAGTTCTTTGGGCTACTGTCATAACCGCAGCTGCGGTTGAGAGGCCGCAGATGCGACTCTAGCAGATGCGGAATTTAGCTGCAGAAGGGGCCAACTAAGGAAAAGCAAGGAGCCGCAGGTGCGGAAGGGTTCACGCACCTGCATCACCGCAGATGCGGTGAGTCAGTCGCAGGTGCGGATTTTGGGACTTTAATGAGTTTCACAGATGCGTTCGTTTTTCCGCAGAAGCGGGACCGCAGGTGCGGTGCGTTGACCGCAGAAGCGGAATTGCTGGACAGAAAATAGGGATTTCGAGGGTTTAGTTTCAAAACTTGAAAAAATCAAATTGGAGCTCGGGAGAGGGTGATTTTGGGAGGAAGTTGAAGAGAAAATCATTGGGTAATAATTCTTTATCCCTTTCTAGTTGTATTTCATTAATCTATTGCTAGTTTTGTCATATAATTTCGGATTGGAAGTGGAAATTGGGGAAAAATTGGAAAAAGTTCTTAGACCTAGAATTCGAATTTTGATGGGTAATTTGACCTTAGATTTGGATAATTTTGGTATGCACGAACTCGTGAGAGTACGAGGATTCTGAAAATATAGATTTTACCCGATTCCGAGACGTGGGCCCGAGGGACGTTTTTGTCATTTTACCTAATTTCGCGTATTAGCTTAGAATTTATTTGTAGAATCAGTTACTTGAAGTATTATTTATATTTTGCAATTGAATTGAATAGATTTGGGCCATTTGGAGTCGAATACTCGTGGCAAGAACGTCGTTTCGTGTTGATTTGGAGCCGGTTCGAGGTAAGTGGCTTGTCTAACCATGTGTGGGGGAAACTCCCCTTAGGATTTGGTATTATTGATGTTTGAAATGCCTTGTACGTAAGGTGACGAGTGCGTACTTGTGCTAATTGTTGAAAAATCCGGTTTCCATTAAGTACTTAAAAATTGTGTTTTCCTTTCCTATTATACTACTTGCAAGTTAAGCATGTTGTTAGCTTAGGGAAGCATGTCTAATTCATTTAACTATTTATTTATTCTACTACCCTATTTGAATTATGTGCAGCATGCTAGGTTAGAAATACCTGCTTTACCTTGGCGTGAAAATTGATTGAATTGAGTATTCTTCTTGTTGCTATTGTGTATTTACTTTGGGACTATGGGACGGTATCCCGGGAGCTCCCCCTGTTTGTTTACTTTGGGACTACGGATATGTATTCCGGGAGATCGCCCTGCACTTTTACATTGGAACTACGGGATTGCACCCGGTAGATTTTCCTAGTATTGAGTATTTATATTTGGGACTACGGATGTGGTATTCCGGTAGATCCCGCGCATTTATGAGTTGGACTACGGGACTGCACCCGGGAGATCCACTGGATATTTATATTTGGGGACTACAGGACGGTATCCTGGGAGATCCCCCGGTTGTTACCTCTGCATTGAGTTGTATTTGTTTTTCCGTGATTACTTGGTTTCTATTAAAGTTGTTGTTGTTCTTCTATCCTGTGTTACCTTTTAATGTTGCACTTAAGTATACTGTCCCATTCTACACTGTTATTATATCTTGTATTTCCGTTAACCTCAGTAGGGCCCTGACCTCCCTCGTCACTACCCGACCGAGGTTAGGCTTGGCACTTACTGAGTACCGCTGTGGTGTACTCATGCCCTTCATGCGCATGTTTTTCATGTGCAGATCCAGGTACTGCGACTCAGACTTATCACGCTTGAGGCGAGGCATTTGTAGAGACTCCGAGGTATATCTGCCGCATCCGCAGACCGAAGAGTCTCTTTGTACTCTTCCCTTAGGTACTAGCCCTTCTGTATTTCCTTTCTTTGTTAGATATTCTGGAGTTAGATACTTGTAGACATTCAAAGGCTTGTGATCATGAGATTTCGGGTTTTGGGTAATGTTATTAGTTTGAGAATTGATGTTGTGTATGCCGAGCAGCATTTCAAACACTGTTTTATTTTACTATTTCGGTTTTTCAGTTATTTCTTCCGCAAATGTTGTTATTTTCCGCATTGTTAGGCTTACCTAGTCGTAGATACTAGGTGCCGTCACGATGGTTCACGGAGGGCGAACCGGGGTCGTGACACAAGTTTTTAGAGTTTATATGTGTGAGAGAAGCCTCAATATCTTCTCATTCAGATGAATCTACATACTTAAGGTTTTATCACTATCTTTGGAACCAGTGATTCCTATCTTGTAATATGCCATTTCGAAAGTCCCTAATGCATCTAACTAGTTGGTAACCAAAAGAAAAATATTAGGGAGTTCAAGTATTGTCCAAATTAAAATAGGAAATCTTCCTACAGAGACTAGCTAAAGAAAAATGAATAGTGGTGAAGATTGAAAGTCATGACCAAGATATTATATCACATATCCAAGGAGAATAGTAATGGTTCAACCAAATAACTAGTCCAGCAAGCAAAAAGATAGAACAACTTGTAATCTTTAAGACTAGCATAACGAGATATAAAGACCACTAGCGGCACATTGAGTTTTACCTTTTCTAAATATAAGGTAGCAATTACTAGCAACAAAGAACCTATTTCGCATAGTTCATATTATTTGCTTCTTATGGTTCTCAACAATTTCAAGAACAAAAATTAGCAATTTATACATTCAAATATGAAAAGGAAAAGGAATTGTTACTTTGAAATGGCATTTGTGGTGCTTGCAATGTTTGTTTTGCTAATCCACTTCTCCTCTCATATGTTGCTTGAGCTCTCTTATTCTCAAGATTCTGTGGTTATCACAAACAAGGGAGAAATCACCATCAAAAGTCAGATATACTAACAGAAAATTGAGACTTCAATTATAATTGCAGACAACAAGTATGGAAACTCACCTTACAAAAAATTCCAAAAACAGGAGCTGGAGCTCATCATTACATAAATAAGGTTAAGCGGAAAGAAAAGGAACTCCAAGTGCTGCTTGTAGCAGAACATTACATTTTCATATTGATAAAAAATACATGAAAATAAAGTTAAGAACACTATTTAACAAGAAATAGCTAACAACTGCTATATGTTGCTCCATTGATTCAAAATGTGAAGTAATACCACCACTAACTAGAGAAAATGATTGTAGGGTAGATCAATAACAAGATACAAGAAACTTACCCTGATAGTATTATAATGGTTCCATCCAACCTCTGATGAAAGCTTGCTCAAAGCAATATGTATGTCCTGCCTCGAGCCTCAATACCCTAGATGAGAGGAGGGTAGTAACTTCAGTATAAAAAGAAACAATAATACTATGCGTAAACTAATACTTGAGTGCATCAGAAATGACCATCCTCTTCATCTTGTCATATGGGGATGGAACATCCTCATAAATAAATTATGGGTGTT